GGCGGCCTTTCAAAAGTGGCGGTCTTCAAACGGTATAGGGCAGGTTTTTTAAAAAGTAGGCGGTCTTTACGTCTTTTGGGGTATAAGAGTGGGGTTTCAAAGGGAAAACGGGCGGTTTTTTTTTAGAGGACGGAGATATTCCACAGGGGCGCCCTTTCCTGGGGTAATTGGCGGGCTTTATGAAAGCCCTTGATGGAGAGGAATGGCGCACTTTTTGTCACGAATGGCGGAGGCTTTTAAAAGAATGGCGGGGATTTGTGGGGCGGTTTTAGCAGAAAAGTAGGCGCCTTAGTTTAATACGTAAGGTGATCCGAAGCGGGAAGGGAAAGGAAGGATATAGAGAGAGAGAGAGAGAGAGAGAGAGAGAGAGAGAGAGAGAGAGAGAGAGAGAGAGAGAGAGAAGAGAGAGAGAGAGAGAGAGAGAGAGAGAGAGTGAGAGAGAGAGATAGTAATAAAGCCAGGAAAAGGGGAGAGAATGAGAGGGAGACGGAGAGGGAAAGAAGAACGAAGAGTGACCAAGAGAGAAATTAAAAACAGAAAGATAAATCTAAAAAAAAACAGATGAAAGACAAACAGAAAAAAAAACAGAAAAAGAAAGAGAGAAAGAAGAGAAAAGAAAAGATAATTAATACAAACGCAGAAAAAAAACAGAAAATAAAGAGAGAAAGAGATAAAAAGAAAAGAAAAAATGAAAAAAAGAATGAAACTACATAACATACCCACATAACCTCCTCAACACTATCTTTCTCCCTCTCCTATACACATATCCCCGTGGGCGTCCCTCCGCTAACGACCACCTCCCTAAGATGAACTCCGAGAGGTAAACCAAGACACTATATCTTGGGAAAAGAAATCTGACCCAATATTTAAAAAAAAAAAAATAAAAAAAATTGACCCACCCACAGCAGAAGGCGAGCGGTGAACGTGGGGTCATGGGGGGGTCAAGAGGGAGGTCAGGAGGGGGGTGGAATGAGGTTATGTGGTTATCCTATCCGTTAGAGTGTAAAAAGTATATAAAAAATAAGAAAAAAAGGTAAAGAAGCCCAGGTTAGGCAGATTGGTCGTGTCACGTGACCGATCAGGTTAATTGGCGCCGAAAGAGAGAATTATATATTCCTCCTTTGGCTTCTTCGTAAAAAAAAAAAAGAGAAAAGAGAAGAAAGAAAGAAAGAAAAAAGAAAAAGGAGATAAAAAAGAAAAAAGAAAAAAAAGAAAGAAAGAAAAATGAAAAGAAAAAGAAAAAAAGAAAGAAAAAAGAATTAAAAGAAAAAGACAAAGAAAAAAAAGATAAAAACAAAGAAAAAAAAAAAATAAACAAACAAAGAAAGAAAGAAAAAAGGTCAGC